TTTTTGGGGGGGATTTATCATCTTTATTGTTATGGTTTTGTTTTTATATAATTTTTAAAAAAATTTTTTTGGGTGGGTTAATGGGAAAAGGGGTATAAAGTTTATTCCCCATTTTATAGTCTTATTTTTATTTTACCAAGGCCCTTTTTTAAAAGGTTGGGTAACTCCCGTTTTTAACAGGGGGCCTTTTTTTTTGATTGGGGTTTTTTTAAAAAAAATTTTGAACCCTTTTTACAGGGTTTTCCTTTTAATTTTTGCACAATTTTAAAAGGCCCTGGTTGGGGGTTAAAATCCCCTTCCCGGGGGCGGGTTTGATTTCCCGGGGGGGAAAATTGGACCACCCCAATGGAAAAAATTGGACCAGTCCTGGTGGGGCCGGGGGGGGGTTCCCTGGGGTTAAAACCTGGGTGGCCTTTTTTTAAACCCCCCGGGGTTAAAAATCCCAACGAAATCTTATCTTTTTTTTTATCCTTTTCTTTTTCAAAACCGTTCGGGGGGTATTGGGAAAAGACTATCGAAATAGACGATTTTTTGAAAAACAATTTTCCCCTTTAAAAAATGGGAAATACAAATTTAAAAAGTTTTCCCGACACCCAGAAAATATTTTAAAAAAAAAAAAAATTTTTATGAAAAAATAAATGTTAGTTTAAACCCCCAAAAAATTTCCCAAAGGGCCCTGATGAAAAGAAAAAAATTAACAGCTAAAAATTACCCCATTTGTGATTTTTTCTTAGTGTTTTGGAAGACTGGAGGAGGAGAGGGGGATTGGATTAGTTACTGTTTGGAAGGGGAATCCCCTTCTATCAACACCTGAGGTACCAAGTCCTTTTCTGGGGTTTCATAATTCTCTTTTCTGTTTCTTAATGCCACTAGGACCAGCTTGAGAGTCACTGGAGTCCTGTCTTGCAAAAAAGTTGTCCAGAGAGCTCTGTTTATAGTGTCTCTTTAAAACTTCCCTAAAATGGGCTAAGACTCTGTCACTGTACAAGTTGCTGATATGGCTTGCAACATCCTTCTCAGGGTAATGTTTCTCCATAAATCTTTCCATCCTACCCCACATTTCAAAAATCTCCTTAATTTCTGAAGAAGGCACCTTCTTCCATCTCTCTTCCTCCTCCTCTGCAGCAAGATTCTGAGCTGCAATCTGTTGCTGTTCCTGCTGAAGCTCTTGCAGCTCCTCAGTGGTTAGCTTTTCATTGTGATCCTCCACCAACTCTTCCACATCCTCCAAACTCACATCCAACCCCATGGAACTCCCTAATGCCACAATAGAGTTCATAACTGACATAGGCTCATCAGGGTCAGCCATAAACCCTTCAAAATCCCTCTTGTGGACACAACCTGGCCACAATTTTCTCTAAGCAGAGTTCGAAGTCCTGGTAGTCACTCCCTCCCAAGCCTTACCTATAAGGCTTATGCAATGGAGGATACTGAAGTGTTCTTTCCAAAACTCTCTAAGGGTCAAGTGAGTGTCTGAGGTCACATTAAAGCACCTTTGAAACATTGCTTTGGTGTAGAATTTTTTAAAGTTTAAAATGACCTGCTGGTCCATGGGCTGGAGGAAAGGAGTGGTATTTGGGGGCAAGAACTTTACTGTGATGAACCCAAACTCTGCAGAATTAGGTCATCTAAGTTTGGAGGATGAGCAGGTGCATTGTCCATTACTATGAGGCACTTGAGATCCAATTTCTTTACCAGTATGTATTTCTTCACACTAGGGCCAAACACTTCATTGAACCACTAGAGGAAAATTTCCCTCATGACCCATGCCTTATTATTAGATCTCCAAAACACACAAAATTTACTCTTCATAACATTGTTTTTCCTGAACACTCTGAGATTTTCAGAATGGTACACTAGTAACGGCTTCACTTTGAAATCTCCACTAGCATTAGCACAGAACATGAGCATCAGCGTGTCTTTCATAGGCTTGTCCTGGCAGTCCCTTTTCCTCCTGAGTAATGTAGGTCCTCTTTGGCATTTTCTTCCAAAAGAGGCCTGTTTCATCACAATTGAACACTTGTTCAGGTTTCAGTCCTTCAGCCTCTATGTACTCCTTGAATTCACTTACGAATTTTGTAGCTGCAATTTTATCCGAACTGGCAGCCTCACCATGCCTTATCACACTGTGTATGCCACTACAGTTCTTAAATCTCTCAAACCAACCTTTGCTGGCCTTAAATTCACAAATATCAGTACTCATTGCAGGCAATTTCTTTACCAGATCGTCATGCAACTGCCTAGCCTTTTCACAAATAATCGACGTCATAAGACTATCTCCTGCTAATTGTTTCTCGTTTATCACACCAATAATAATTTCTCAACATCTTCGAGTACTGGTGATCTCATTTTTGTCAGCATATTTACCCCCTTTGCAACAACAGCTTCTTGATTTCCTTTTTCTTGGCCACAATGGAAGATATGGTTGTACGGGATTTGTTATACATCCTGGCCAGTTCGGCCACACGAATACAACTTTCATATTGTTCAATGATGTTTTTCTTAAATTCAATTGTATTTCTCACCTTCTTTACCAAAGGCTTGGCACTAGGAGCTTTCTTTGGAGCCATGGTAGCTTATTTAGCACTTGCAAGCACTAAAATGAATGGAATACAGTGGACCCACGACGAGCAATGGCATCGATTAATGATAAATCCGAGTAGCGATACATTTTAAGGCAAAAAATTTGCCTTGACTAGCGCTTAAAAACCCGACCAATGCTATTCGTTCCATTTGAGATGTGTCCACTTTGGCCTGAGCATGCCTCACTTGTCCCATGGGTGCCAGTGTTTACAAGCCAGCCAGCCACCGCAGTCGCTTCCAAACATACAACTGGAACATTTCATATTTTCACAGCCTTTGTAGTGATTGCACCTGCAAAATAAGTCACCATGGGCCCCAAGAAAGCTTCTAGTGCCAACCCTACAGCAAAAAGGGTGAGAAATTTTCTATGGAGGGTGAAGAAAGAGATCATTGCTAAGTATGAAAGTGGAGTGTGTATCTCTGAGCTGGTCAGGTTGTATAGTAAACCCCAATCAACCATCACTACTATTGTGGGCAAGAAAA